TGGAAATACTCCTTTAGAGATTTTGGTCCATATTGACATGATAGCATCACGCAGTTGCTGCAGATTTGTCGGCTGCACATCCATTATGTGAATCTCCCGTTCCACCACATCCCAAAGGCTCTATTGGATTGAGATCTGGGGAATGTGGAGGTCATTTGAGTACAGTGAACTCATTGTCATGTTCAAGAAACCAGTCTGAGATTATTCTCGCTTTATGACATGGCGCATTCTCTTACTGGAAGTAGCCATCAGAAGATGGGTACACTGTGGTCTTAAAGGGATGGACATGGTCAGCAACAATACTCAAGTAGGCTGTGGCGTCGACAAGATGCTAAATTGGTAATAATAGGCCCAAAGTGTACCAAGAAAATATCCCCCACACCATTAAACCACCAGCAGCAGCCTAAACCACTGATACAAGGCAGGATGGATGCATCCTTTCATGTAGTTGACACCAAATTCTGATCCTACCATCCAAATGTTGCAGCAGAAATTGACACTCATCAACATTTTTCAATCTTTTATTGTTCAATTTTGGTGCGCCTGTGAGAATTAAAGCCTCCGTTTCCTGTTCTTAGCTGACAAGAGTGGCACCCGGTGTGGTCTTCTGCTGCTGTAGCCCATCCGCCTCAAGGCTGGACATGTTTTGGGTTCGGAGATGCTCTTTTGCAGACCTTGGTTATAACAAGTGGTTATTGAGTTACTGTAGCCTTTCCACCAGCTCGAACCAGGGTGGCCATTCTCCACTGACCTCTGGCATCAACAAGGCATTTATTTGCTCACAGGATATTTTCTCTTTTTTGGACCATTCTCTGTAAACCCTAGAGATGGTTGTGCGTGAAAATCCCAGTAGATCAGCAGTTTCTGAAATACCCGTCTGGCACCAACAACCAACCTTTCAAAGTCACTTAAATCACCTTTCTTCCTCATTTTGATGCTCAGTTTGAACTGCAGCAGATCGTCTAAATGCATTCCATGTGATTGGCTGATCAGAAATTTGCGTTAACGAGCAGTTGGAAAGATGTACCTAATAAAGTGGCCGGCGAGTGTTCACTTACACAATTAGGCCTTTCGACATTAATGAATCATGATGAAATGCAATATAAAACTTGGCTTATTTCCATAATGTGTGATAGTTCTAGTGCATGACTGTAATGAAAACAGAAAGCAGTCTGTTTTCAACAATGACGCAATTAGACAACGCATATACAGTACTTAGTACATGACGTAATTAGGATACACACAGTTTAATGCAATGATTAAGCCTCTCAAAGTTAATAAATCATGTTGAAAAGTAACGGCTCAGTTCCTATAACAGTGATTGGGAAACCATGAGTTCTCAACAATAACATAATTAGGTGATGCATTTATAATAAACGATGCAATTAGTCGATGCGCGGTTAAAGCACATTAGCATTGCAAAGTTAATAAATGACGAACTGAAATGTCATTTTGACTTGTCAGTTAACTTTTCATGTATTTGTAAAATAAAAACGGTCCTAACACACGTACCAGGGCTGTGCGATTTGGGGAAAATATCTAATTGCGATTTTTATGTATTTGATTTATGATTTAATTAATGCTTCAGCTTGATAATAATAATAATAATAATAATACCTTTTATTTATGGACACCTTACAGTATGTCACAGGCACATTATAAAAATAAGACAGAAGAGTAATAAAACATAGTATTAATCCATAAAATCATTAAAAGCAATCCTGAACAGAAGGATTAATAATTAAAGATTAATAATCTGTAAGTCGTGGCAACAATACTGTGACAGCCCTTAAAATTTTCCTTGACGCAGGTTGTTGTAGGGAGGTCTAAGCGACAAATAGGGGTCATGACGAGATTTAATCGTTTCTTCTCGTGTCATGGCATAGTTCATGACAGCCGATACCATGTCTGCGAAGCCTCATGACACATCACAGAAAGTCTGGCATGTGTAATTTTCTGATGCATGGCGGATTGGTTTTGCAGCACTTCACCTCAGATGTTATTTGTTATTTTTGTTTATATATACATATAAAATGTATATCTAATCGCAACGTTTCAAATTGCGTTTTTGATTTTGATTAGTTGCACAGCACTAACACGTACCTATGCGACTCCACAATGTAATTACTGTAGGCAGTGCATACTTAGATAGATTTAAGCATCGCTAAATCAATAAATAGTCATTAATCAGTAGTATTGTGAATTAAAAATACATTTTCATAATGTTTTGTTTGCATTTGAAAAATGAAAAGCAATTAATATAAATTACTGTAAGAAATATACGCAGGCATCACGGTGGCGGAGTGGGTAGCACTGTTGCCTCACAGCAAGAAGGCCGCTGGTTTGAGCCCCAGCTGAATCAGTTGGCATTTCTGTGTGGAGTTTGCATGTTCTCTCTGTGTTGGCGGTTTTCTCTGGGTGCTCCGGTTTCCCCCACAGTCCAAAAACATGCGCTATAGGAGAATTGAATATGCTAATAGTGTGTGAAAGAGTGTGTATGGGTGTTTCCCTGTGCTGGCTTGTGGCTAGAAGGGCATCCGCTGTGTAAAACATATGCTGGATAAGTTGGTGGTTCATTTCGCTGTGGCGACCATAGATTATTAAAGGAACTACAGTAAGCCGAAAATAAAATAACTGAATAATTAATTAATATGCAAATGATGTAATTAAGCATGGCAGAGTTAGAAACTGATATTTAAATGATTTATTAAATCATCAATAGTTTTCATAATCCAGGGGTGTGCATACAGTAATGAAGCTAAACACAGTACATTTTGATATGCTGTTGACTTAAAGAGATACACCAGGAGAGTTTAGTGTTATATACAGCATGTAAATATAATTTATTAAAACATGAAATATTTAATAAGCAAACCACATTAAACAATGCATGCTTCAATGACATAATTAAGAACTGCATAATAAATAAATGACATGATTCAGCAATGCATGCACAATGAGGACGAGCCATAATAAATGAATGCTTGGCACTTAAAGGGACAGTTCACCCACTAAAAATGAAAATTAATCTCCCTCTATTAATATTATTATTATTATTATTATTATTATTATTATTATGTTTCTTTATTTAACCAGATAAAAACCCATTTAGATCAAGATCTCATTTACAACGGTGACCTGGCCAAGAGGTCCACAACAAATGACTTATGAAAAAAATAAAAAAATAATAATATCAATAATAAATAGAAAAATAATGAGTTTTAATATGAGAATTAATAGAAAAACTATAAGTTTCTATCTTCTGTTGAACCCAAAAAAAGATGTCTTGAAAAATGCAGGTACCCACTGACTTCCATAGATAAACACTACTATGGAAGTCTAATCAATTAGCATTCTTCAAAGTATCTCCTTTTGCATTTAACACACAAAAAAGTAACTCAAATAGGTTTAGAACAAGCGAAGGGTGTGTAAATGATGACAGAATTGTAATTTTGGGTGAACTTTCCGTTTAAAACCTACTTTAAAAGAAGTTTCATCAAATAACAGCTAGGATACCCCTCTAATAATCCCCTCAGATTCCTAACTTTTGGATTTCCCTCTTATTGATTCCACCGGCAAAGGGATTGATGAACTATACCGGGTGTGAGGGATTAGTGAGACCCACATGTATCTTAGTGAGGCCTGACAGAAGCCTTGCCCTGAAGGTATACTGAGCTACTTCTACTAAAGCGCATAGTTAATTTCAAGCATGGACATTTGATCCCCTTTAATCTCAATGAAGCTTTAAGCAGATTTGAATCTCTGGCACGTTTCTGTTCACCACATATTTCACGTTACATGTCAGGGCACGAAAGCACCGGGGAACGCGTGTGCTGACTGTCCAAGAGCAAGAGAGAGAGAAAATAAACGAGTCTTAAACATTTCTTTTCCATTTATACGGGGTATTTACAATATACAGATGAGTTAGGGAATGAATGGCTTATTTTGCTGTGAAGATGAATGCAAGTTCAGAAGTTCACCATGCTGATTGACAACAGTAACAACAAACTTTGGAGCCAGTGCTAAATTTAACTGATCACACTGCCAACTAATCTTGAGGCATCTGTGAGGTTTATGCTTTCAGCATCACACTATAATAAGACATTAAGAAATAATAAGACTATTTTTTTTTAGAAATACACAGTTATTATTAATAAAAAAGTGCACTTTTTACTGATACTCCTTATGTTTAACATGCAACATAAAATATTACAAAAATGATAATACACGTTCACTTTTCAAGTACAAATCCGTTTTTTTTAATCAAATGAAGAATCAAATGGTGTTTGTTGCCTCGTCAGGGATTTATATATAATAATTCAACTCCGTTATAATAATTTTGTAGCTATACCATACAACAACACATTCAAACCCAGATGCTTTAACACATATCAGCATTAAATTCGCGTTCAAATAAACACCTGCTTAGTGTTTTGACCTTGAACGCAAATCTAGCACTGGCTAAATGAAGTCAAATCTCTGTTTACTGCACTTGTTCGCACATCTACAGCTGTTTATTGACATAATACTGTACATTGAGCTTGTGATGATACAACTAATTAACACTTAAAAACATTCTTTGTTTGACAGAATGTTTCCAATTAGCACCAGTTCACTTTAAAGTCACTTTTTTTGTCAGGGAAAAACCAGAATAGCTGAATTAGCAAGTGGTAACACTTTATTTTATATGAAGGTATAATTCCCGCTTTTAATGAAGCAATAACTATGCATAAGCTTTATAAACTACTAACTGGCTGCTTATTGATAGTTATTAAGGTCGTAGTTAGGGTTAAACACTGTATTGGGGATGTAGAATAGCCTAAGATCATGCAGAATATGTTACGTTTTAAGTAAACGGACAATACCTTAATAGCTATTAGGTAGGTAAAAGGAGCACAACCTTAATAGCGAGAACTGCTCCTTATAGTAAAGTGTTACCAAACAAACTACAGCGAAATAATGTGTCTCCATAAACAAGAATAGGCTAAGTGCCGTCTCACCTGCCATCGAAGTCCGCGTCCACTGCGATCCAGCAGGTCCACATCAACATGAACTTTATGATCCACATCTCCGCGCGCGTGCACTGCGCGTATTATCCAGACGTCGCGGCTGGTGTCCGGTCTGTGAATGGGAATGATGATGAGATTTAAATCCGTCAGTGGTCAGACTCGAAGCGGGTCGAGGAGAAAACACTGAACGCGGTTCATGTGCGAAAGACCGGCAGCGTGTCAGTGTGCGCTCCGCTCCTCCGGTGGAGAGCCGTGGACTAAAGCGCAGAGACGGAAAGCTCAACACACACACACTCTCTCTCTCTCTCTCTCTCTCGTGCTCTCTCTCCCTCTCTGGAGACTTTCTCTCTGTGCCCAATAAGGACAGACGGGAGCGCGTTTTCTACATGCCCCATTACCCCAGTATATTACTTATAGATTGAAAAAACATCTTACGTCAACAATTTGAAGGTTTATTTACAAAAAAATACTATAGCCATCTAAAGGGTTTTCATTAAAATTAATAAGAAAATACTATAATTAGCATCTAAATAATATTTTTACCTGAAAAAAAAAACATTTTGTGGAAAAAAATGCATTCAAACAAACCAATATCTCAAACCAATATGACCATGTAGTTACTTTATTAGATTATATTTAAGTAAAAAAAAAAAAAAAGGTTATGGAAAAAACGTAGAAAACGAATATATAAACATGCCAGAGAAGCATTTTAATTTTTTGTAAGGAAGTTTTCTTAAGCAACAACAAAGACTATATATATATATATATATATATATATATATATATATATATATATATATATATATATATATATATATATATATATATATATATATATATATACCATATACCATACATATACATACAAACATGCATATATATATATATATATATACACACACAGTTGAAGTCAGAATTATTAGCCCCTTTTTATTTTCCCCCCAATTTTCTGTTTAACAGAGAGATTTTTTTCAACAAATTTCTAAACATAATAGTTTTAATAGCTCATTTCTAATAACTGATTTATTTAACACATTTAAACTGATTTATTCAAGACACTTCTATACAGCTTAAAGTGGCATTTAAAGGCTTAACTAGGTTAACTACTGTAGACAGGTTAGGATAATTAAGCAAGTTATTGTATAACGTTGGTTTGTTCTGTAGAAGTTTGAAATAAATATAGTTCAAAGGGGCTAATAATTTTGACCTTAAAATGGGTTTTAAAAAATAAAAACTGCTTTTATTCTAGGAAAAATAAAACAAATCAGATTTTCTTCAGAAGAAAAATTATTATCAGACATAGTGTGAAAATTTCTTTGCTCTGTTAAACACTATTTGGGAAATATTTAAAAATGAAAACAAAATGCAAAGGGGCGCTAGTATATCTGACTTCAACTGTATATGTAAGCAGTATCACACATGGAGCAGTGCGATATGGCTGTATATCGTCACTAGTGGGAGGCGTGCATTGTGCTTAGAGCCCCACCAGCAGGGGCGGATTTAACCAATAAGCAAGGCAAGTGGATGCTTATAGGGCCCAAGGAAATCTATATTATATATCTAGAATATATAACATTGTCTTCTATCATATTTTGTATGGTGAGAGTCAAAAAATACAAATGTAATGTAAATAATATTATTTAATATAAATAAATATATATATAATATTATTATTTTAATTTATTGGTATGTAATAATATCATAAAAAATTATTATTATTACATCTGCACAGATTTGTCCACCACCCCCAATCATAGAGCAGTCCAGCAGTCAAATTTATAATATTTAAATTTTATTTAAATTAAGCAAATTTTTTTTAGAAAACTTATCGTTTAAAAAGTAAAAAAGTAAGATGCATTAAGATAGAACATAGAAAAGATGTTTGATGTGATATTAAAAAAAAAAACATCTAATTAAATAAAAGTATAAAGGGTGCATTTTAGGACTGCTGGGCCCCAAAATGTCCTAAAACACAATAAAAATGACCCAGTTTTAATGGGTGGCAATTTTTTAAAATTATTATAATTATTATTTTGTAAACTTTAAGACATCTGTGATAGCCTACATTATTCTGTTTTCTTTGTTTCAACAGAGATATAAAATAATATTAAGACATGTCTGTGAGATTGTGCTTTGTTTTGTCAGGACAATAACATTTATAATTAATCCCCTTAATTACATTGATTCGTTTTGCAGCTCTAGTGGATTCTAGTTTACTTAACTAAACTGTAAATGGAAGAAAAAAAAAGTAGAAAGGGTGCATTTTAGGACTGTTGGGCCCCATGACTGGAATTGCTTAGGACCCCCAAATCACCAAATTCACATCAGCCCACAAGTGATGATATACAGCAATATTGCACTGCTTAAAGTGCAATATTGCATTTATACAACAGTTAGACAGCATGATCGTGTATATAAAATAGAGAATCAAACACAGAGAGTCTAAAAATGATTTTATATGAGGAACTACTTTCGCCAGCCATTCATTCACAACTACAGCTGACGTCTGAGTAGTTGCTAATTTCACGAACGTCACTTTAGAGCAAGTATTCGAATGATTTTCTAGGGTAATGTCTAAAGTGATGACAAAACAGCAAATTTTGCTCACATGTTAAGATTATAAGGCTGAACGGACCGCAATGAGATGCCATCAGTCTACAAAGATTTCCCAGTATTTCTCTGTTGCAATCGGGATTTCACAATAATTAACCCTGAAATAGCCAAAGCAAAGCAAACACTACAGATTACTAAGGTATAAATACAGCACTACGACATACAAAAGAGACAGATTGACTTACCTGTTTTACAATGACTTGCTCAGCTGTAGTTTGAAATAAACGCTGAGGTTTTCTCCTCTAAAGACTTTTTATGCAGTCTGTCGCCATCTTGTGGTGGAACGTCAACCGTCTTTGCTCTGCTCAGTATGACAGTCTGATGGATGCCAACTCACTGTCTCAGAAATAATACATATTTAAAATAGGCACTGTCCTTATAAATAAACTGGAATCTAAACAACTACAATCTCGCCTAAAAAAGCCCCAAAAATACATTATGTTGCTGCAATATTTCTCAAACTGTAATGAGTTTATTAATTCTTATGTGGGCGGAGTAATAAAGAATAAGATGAGAAGGCTGTACGAGTGCTGTTATTGCAGAATATTGCACGACTATCAGCCAGTCATATTTGAGAATCAGATAGAACACTGTTGTGTGTGTGTATATATATATATATACACACACACACACACACACACACACACACACACACATATACATACATATATATATAATTTTTTATTTATATATATATATATATATATATATATATATATATATATATATATATATATATATATATATATATATATATATCCAATAAATTGCCTAATAAACCTAACTTGTTATCCTAATTAAGACCTTAAATTCCACTTGAAGCTGAACAGTATTGAAAAATAAGTATAAAAATATTATCCACAGTCACCCTGGGAAAGACAAAATAACTTGCTCAATATTAATCAGTTATTAAAACTATTATGTTTAATAATTCAAATACATCAAAAATAAAAATCAAATAATAGATTAAGGGTTCAATTAGCATTTTTGGCAATGCATAATTTACTTGTGACTGTAGTAAACAAATAAAACGAATACTAAAATTAGGTGTTTAGTTTTGACTTTTAAATCCCATAATTTATTTGGTCAGATCTGACATGGGCACTGGTGTTTTTTTCAGACAAGTGGGCACCTGCATTTGTCAAGTTAAACTACAGCAGAGCAGATTTATGGCTGTAACTCATCACTCGAGCTTCAGGTCTCCAGCAGTCGTGCGCAGGGTTACGGCTCATTTTCACTTTCCTCATAGCTCTGGTCAGAGGGCACAGGAAAAAAGACCTCTCTGTTTTCATCGGGTGAACACTTAGAAACCCCAAGCATGCCAGACCACATGTAAATCTGAGCCCGTCTCCGAGAATTCATACTCCACACTTTAACACAGGTGATATATTCCAGAAAGATGAGAAGGAAAGAGCTCACGCTGCACTGGAGAATGGTGAGATCTTAGAGACTGTTAGACTCCATTCATAATGCAAGACGATGTGAGCTATAGGCCAGTCCAACATTCAGCTTTAACACAACTCTGCTCTTTATAAAAATGTTTAATCCACATCAAATACTGTGATTAATATTGACTATTTTTTCTCTAATCATTATTATATATTTAGCAAAATATTTATAAGGCATCCAATAAAATTGCTTCATTTTCCTTCGGCTTAGTTCATTTATTAATCAGGGCTCGCAACAGCGGAATGAACCGCCAACTATTCCAGCATATGTTTTACGCAGCGGATGCCCTTCCAGCTGCAACCCATTACTGGGAAACACCCATACCCATTCATTTACGCTCATACACTATGGCCAACTTACCCTATTCAATTTACATACAGCGCATGTCTTTGGACTGTGGGGGAAACCGAAGCACCCGGAGGAAACCCATGCCATTACGGGGAGAACATGCAAACTCCACACAGAAATGCCAACTGACCCTGTCTTGCTGTGAGGTGACAGTGCTAATCACCGAGCCAATGTGCCACCCCATCATATTCATTCATGTGGAAGATTCCAAAAAGGAAGATGGGACCAAGCCGAAAAGAAATCCAATGAATGAATGAATAAAGGTCATGTTCTTGATTTACTGCAAAGACGACATCAAAATGGTTCAGTTTTATTCAAGTATATATGCATGTATGACTTGCATTTACAAAACATAATGTTTATATGTAATTCTGAGGTTGGCATGGTGGCTTAGTGGTATAGGTGAATTGGGTAAGCTAAATTGGCCGTATAGTGTGTGTGTGTGTGTGTGTGAATGTGAGACTGTATGGGTGTTTCCCACTACTGAGTTGCAGCTGGAAGGGCATTCACTGCGTAAAACATATGCTGGAATAGTTGGTGGTTCATTCTGCTGTGGCGACCCCTGAAATCGAGACTAACCCAAAGGAAAATGAATGAATGAATGCATGAATATGACCAAGTACAGAATTGAAGATATTTCTTACACAAGAAGTAATTGTGCTTTTGTTAATAAATTAATAACTTAATTAACATGAAAAACATGAGTTCTTACCTGAAGCTCAGGCTGAATGTCATGTTGATGTGCCCTACAGTATTTGAGAGTTTCATAAATAAGAATATTAGATTCAATTGAATATTTCATCAAAGAGGGAGATCTGAATGTACAGTACACTGTAGACCCCAATAAGAGGAAACCAACGCCAACACGGGGAGAA